AAATCGATTTTTGTGAAGAAAGCGTAGAGAAGCATACATTGTAAAATTCTTATATAAATACTGTTATTTAAAAAATGTGAACTGAAAAAAAGACCAGCCGGATGCTTGTTTTATATGTTTATAATGAAATACTTCTCCATAAAATTAAATTCCAGTTTTTGGGGTTCGGGGTGGTCTACCTTGGTCACCATTATCAAAATAAGGCTGTGATTATTTCATTGATTTCTTAATCAACTATAGTGCTTATGAAAATAAGGAGTTATTTTTTTGCTGGTATCTTTTTGGCAACACTGTTCTTGACAGATCACGCGTGAATCGTGTCTTGTGTCATTGTCAAACTTGTTCAGTTTGGTCTATAATTTAACAATGAATCGACTTGCAAATTATTGAATTTTATTATCAAAATTCATGCTTGATGAAGAAAGTGCATCGTGCACTTCTTCCAATTTATGGGCAGTTTCGTCGGCCTACTGAGAGAGCTATTCGGAAGTTTGTGACTAAATTTCGAACCCAATTTACATTATTGGACATTGAACCACCAACACGCATAAGTAGAGTGAGGACAGAAGAAAATATTGCGGCTGTATCCGCCAGTGTTCGTGATGACCGTGAAATGTCGATTCGCCGCCGTTCGCAGCAATTGGGCCTTTGTTACTCCACTACGTGGAAAATTTTGCGAAAGGATTTGGGTGTTAAAACTTATAAGATACAGCTGGTGCAAGAATTGAAGCCAAGTAACCTCCCACAACGTCTAACATTTGGTGAATGGGCAAAGTTGGAGGAAGATCCAAAAATTGTGTTCAGCGACGAGGTTCATTTCTAGTTGAATGGATACGTTAACAAGCAAAATTGCCGCATCTGAAGTGAAGACCAGCCACAAGCATTGCAAGAGCTACCGATGCATCCCGAAAAAGTCACTGTTTGGTGTGGATTATGGGTCGGTGGCATCATCGGGCCGTACTTCTTCAAAGACGAAAAAAAAATGCAATCGATATGAAATTCTAGGTTTAATACTATATTTACTGTGCTATATGTCTACTACAAGAGGACAAGTTTCTAAGAAATATTTATAAAATTTTCATTCTACATTCACAATTAAGCATAGAACGAAAGCGATTAGCATTTGAAAATGAGAAAAAGAAACAAGAATTACAGAAGAAAATGCACCAATTAGAACAGGAAGAATTAGTGAAAAGTATATGATATTGTTAGAGCTAGAGCGCCAATTGGGAGAAGGTTAAATTAACGCTCAATCGAAAATAAGAGAAACATTACGATTGAATAGCTCAAATACTACTGATGATGCAGAAGAAACGAAACAAACAGGGTATCAATGAATAGAAAACTACCCAGAAGAATGCATGCTTGGAGAAGCAAGAGGTAGCGACGATAGAGAAGAAGCTATCAGTGAAATTGAAATTTGTGAAACCATTTCGATTGCCATCAAGGCAGTTTCAAATTCTACTGCGAATAATCAAAACAAGATCTGAATTCGAAATTCTTTTGAAAAGGATTTTCCTTGCTATGATGGTAATCCACAAGAATGGCTTTTGTTTCATAAACACTTAAAATATTTGTAGTCTATGTAATTTCAGTAACGGAAAACTGCTTAAAATTCAGAAATGTCTGAAAGGGGAAGTCCAATCCGTGGTAGCTGAGATGGTAGCAGATAATGTGAATTTGGTTATACAAACCCTTGAATTACAATTTGGGCGACCTGGATTTATTATCGATGGTCTAATATCCAAAGGACGAGTTTTTCATCATCTAAGAGATTCAAATTTTGAGGAAATTCTACAATTCTCCAGTGAAATAAACAATATGGTTGCAATCATGAAAACTTTCAAATCCCCAGGACATCTTCAGAATCCACAGCTATTGAAAGACCTGATCAGAAAGTTACCTGATCATTTGAAACTGAAATGGGGCGAGAAAATGATTGAAGGAAATGAAAAGTTAGATTTGGAAGATTTTGCCAAATAGGTAGGAGAAGTTGCAAGAGCTGCCTGCTATGTTTCTGAAAGATTCGACCAAAAATCTTTTCCGAAGAAGCCTGAAAAAGTATTTTTTTCCAAAGAGTGCTTTCATGAGAAGAAATATTTTTATTGCAACGAAAAAGCTCACGTCCATGATATTTGTGCTGTCATGGAAAACGACGACGTCGATAAACGGTGAAAAATCGTTACGGAAAACAAGCTGTGCTTTTCGTGTTTCAATAAAAATCATCATAAGTTCAAATGTAGTACAAGGAAACCTTGTGAAGTCAATGGCTGTAAACTATTCCCCCAACAACTACTACATAAAAATATTTCGCAAACGTTTCATTGCCTTAATGAACGAGACGAAGCAAATCCAGAAACAGTCTATACACTGAGATACTGCGGGAAAAAATACAGTTGAGAGTACTCACTGTGTTTTTACATTGTAGAGAAGGATCTGTTCAAAATCTGTCTGTTTAAAATATGTTTTTCCGTTGAAAGCTGTCGCCCCCATACGAACGACAACTCTCAGAAGTTGAGAAACTTGTGCGAGCTAAGGATTAACGAGGTCTTACCTTTTAACGTATAATTCCTATCGCGGTTGCAGAGTCATCCCAGCTTCAACCAGATAATTTCTCTCTCGAGAAAAATATCAGGTCGAGGCGGGAATCGAACCCACGGCCTTCGATCGTGAGTCTGGCGCTCTACCACCGCGGCCGATTCCACAAATCAATTCAGGTATTGTTCAAATTGTTATGTATCAAAAATTTCTTGTTTCTATGAAAGCTTTTCCGAAGCAATGATGTAAAAACTTATTTTTCGAATGAAATATCATTAGTCATTGATGGAAAACTATTTTTTTAACGGGGCACCCTGTATATTCCTGCATATTTCAATAGAGCTTAAAATTGATTTTCCAAAAAAGTAGCACACTTGATGTTTTGCTAGAGTCATCTTTGAAACACAGAGCTTTTAGGTTTTTTTCATGTAGACTTTAAAACGCACACGTGATCAAGTAGGCTTTGGAGGATGCGGCGATAAAACAGAATGCAAATCTTCACTGGTAGCTGTCAAATTTTGATTTGAACAGTAAAGACGCTCTTCAATAAGTGTTTTTTTTCTTCAATTTTCAAACACATTCGCAATGAAGCATGAGAATTATGAGAAATAGGTTATGAGTCTATTTTCTACAAACCGGGGAAGATGCAGAAGCAGCAAGTAATTTGTATCACGAGAAGTATCCAGAGAGAAGACAACCTTTTAGAGACATTTTCGCAAGATTGCGACACAACTTAATTGATTGTGGTCATTTTGAAAAGAAAAGGCCAAAATTATATGAATCAAATAGGGATAAGGAGTTGGAAGCAATAGTCGTTTTAGGAGCTGTTGAAAATAATTCTATAACGTCAACGCGAAATCTGAAAATATCAACGGGCCTATCAAGAACTAACGTTAGGAGGATTTTGAAAAAACAAAATTTCAAGCCATACCGGACCAGAAGAGTTCATCAACTCAGACCAGGAGATTTTGAACGCCGCATGGCTTTTTGTCAGTGGTTCCTGGAAAGTGTGTGATTCTTCGTTAGTTTTCATTTGGACAGACGGAGCTTATGTGATCAGTGCCGGCACGGTATTTTCAACCGCCACAAGTTTTATACTTGGGCACAATGAAATCCTCATTCTATTGTAGAGCCGAGAAAGAAAATCTGTTTTTCCGTTAACCAGCTGTCGCCCACTTCAAACAACAACTCTCAAACGTCAAAACTTGTGCGAGCTAAGGACTAACGAGGTTTCACGTTTTAACGTGTGATTCCTAACACTGGTTGGACGATAGGTGGTCGATTGACTGAGTGGAGCTGTCCACCCACGTCAACCCACTAGGCTACCGTCCTACCAAGGAAGTCGAGGAAGATTTGCATTCAGTGTGTGGGCAGGTGTTTTCAGGGGTAGAATTATTCAATTAAGTATGCCATTTATAATGGCACTTGCACACCTCATAGGTATTTAGAAATTTTAAGGCAAAATAATGAAACACATGTTGATGAATTGCCACTAATGGAGCTCAGAAAAATATATTTTCAACAAAACGAGGCCAAGCCTCACAACATTGCAATTGTCACCTATTTTTCCGCTGCAAATTTTGGTAATAATTGGATAGCCAACCAAGGACCCAACCGTTGGCCGGCCGGGTCACCGAACCTAACGCCTATGGACTTTCATTCCTGGGGAAGGTTGAAAGTTGCCGACCAATTCTAGATATGAATTGGAAGCGGCAGTGATGCAAAGTTTTGTTTCTCTCACTCCTATTGAGTTAATTCATTCGGCCAGAAACGTTCAGAAAAGGTGTCGCATGTGTGTAAGAGAACCTGGTGGACATTTCGAACACCTCTGAAAAAATTCATTTTATTATATGTTCTTTATGATTATTATTATTGTTGAAGTTTCATTTATTAGTAGTTAAGTAGTAAATATAGTATACATTGTCATCAGTTTTATTGAAACTATGCGTTTTAATTACTCCTGTGAAATGCTTTCTGAACATTTGATAGCTACTACTGAACAATTTATTTCTATTTTATGGCCTACTTTATCAAAGTATACCTACGTTTCATAGTCTACATGAAAAAACTTAAAGCTCTGTATTTCAAAGATGACTAGCAAAATATCAATAATCTAATTTGAAAACAGGAGTTTCCCTTTGAAAGTGTCCAATTTGCCCCACTCTGTACAATAAACATGCCTAAAGAATCCAAAAATTGAATACTATACAGAAAAATGAGAAAATTTTTGTTGAATAAAATGCTCAACGACGTGTTCCAGCGTTTTTTAAAAATGTTTTTGTCATCAAATTCATTCCTTTTGGCTGATACATACTGTATACATTAACATTGGAACAGATAGCTTCTTTACAATACTTCAGTAACCAGCTTTACACCGAATTTCTTCTCGCGAATACATTCGGCGTTGAGGTCGCTTTTTATTTGATTCAGTGAAGAAATAATGTCGGGCTACAGTAGTTCGTTTTCTCGTTTAAATCTCTCGTCGATGTATCGTGACGAACGGGCTCGTAATATCAAAAATGATACTTTTGGGAGTGATAATGATAGTGGCGTTGTGATGAGGGAGTGGAAGTTCGGTGGGGTGAGTGGAATGCTAATAATCATTTTTTAAATTTCATTTAAACTTTTGTCATTTTTCAAATCAGAATTGTTCTATGATACATTCATTCATGTATTTACGAGTATATATCTTTGAGAAATGGGATACGATTGATCTCCGTCATAATGATACAAGACATAAGTTTCTTAATGTTATGATTTCAAAATAGGTATTGTTCTTGCGGAACTTTAATGTAAAACGTTCGTTATTGTTATTCTTGTTCTTTTAATGTTATAGTATGTTTCTGTCAATTTTCCTGTTTAACCCTGTATAAAAGACAATTGAGAGGTAGATTTGTAAATAAAAAGTTGTTGTTGATGGTACGAAAAAATTATCTTCTCAGTTCTTCATATTAAACAAAACCAAAGTCTTGCCCAAGTCGAAAAGTGGTCCTTCGAGTTTTCAATAAAAACAACCCTGTGGAAGATGCCTGCTTCACGTTCAGTACCTTTAAGAAGAAGTGAAAGGATAAAGGCAAAAGTATTAGCAATTTTCGACAACAGCCATCAAATCCATGACATATCTAAAACCTTAAATTTGTAAAATATGGAAAAACTAGATATTAATCAAAGTTCTTGAAAGTACCAAAGTTTCAAGTAGTAAATCCATTCGACGCAGAAAGTTAGAAATTGAAAAACGTCTAATAGAAAAAGAAGCTATGTTCAAACAAGCTGAACTTGAAAGCCATGGTGTATCCATTTATTCAAAACAAGAAGAAGAAACGAAAACACAAACTAGTAAAGGGTCATTCATTAAAAATTGGGTGAAATCAACAAATGATAACATGGAGCAAATGCAACTCCAGAGTTTCTCCCACGAATATATGACGGAAGACCAGAAACTGAACAAATTCATGGCCAGACAGTCGTTCAGCAAGGAACTTCCAATATTTTCTGGACAAGCTGGAGAGTGGATCAATTTCGTTAACCAGTTCAAAGAAACAACAAAAATTTGTGGATTTTCCAATGCCAAAAATATTGTGGGACTTCAAAAATGTTTAAGAGGTAAAGCCAGAGAATCTGTTAACGCCTTGCTCAGTTTTACTCAAGAAGTCGGCAAAATTATCAATACACTGGAAAAACGATTCGGTAGACCCGATATAATTATACAAGACCAAATAGATTGTGTGAGGAGGATTCCCGACTTGAGAGAAGACAGATTAGACAATATTTTAGACTTTTCCAATAAAATTCAAACTCTGGTAGTTACTGTGCAAAGTTTAAAACGTGATGAATATTTGTTGAATCCAAATCATTTGAACGACGCAGTGATCAAATTGAACACAAATTTTAAAATAGAATGGGTAAAACAAATAGTGGAATTGAAACGTCTGAAAAAGTTTGTCACAATTGTAGAATTTTCTCTTTGGCTTGAAGAAATAAGTGAGGCCATAATGTTTTGTTGTTCCTGGATAAAAAGAAAAGATATGTCTGTACCACATCCATTCAATCAGATAAACCAACTTTCAGTTGTAAATTGTGCAAGAATGACGAACATAAAGTAGAAAAGTGCCACAACTTCAAAAAATTAGAAGTTGAGAAACGTTGGGACTGGGTGAAAGAAAATAAAGTATGTTTCAGTGGTTTAGGAAACTTGGTAAAAGCAAGAAAACATGTAATGTTAATGGCTGCCTTTACAAACATCATCCTTTGTTACATAAAGAACCTGAAACAGTACTGGAGAACTCCGAAGAGCAAGTCTGCCATCATTCCGCCAGGATCAAGGAGTCTGAAGTTTTATTGAGAATAGCTCCTGTAGAATTAACTGGCCCCAAAGGTAAAATCAACACATATGCTCTTTTTGATGAAGGTTCTACGGTGACCACGGTTGATGCTGTATTGGCTGAGACATTAGGTGCTACTGGACCAACAGAAAGTTTGAAACTCAGTTGGACAAATTCTATGTCCTGTGAAGAACTCCACCCGAAGATCAGTTTGAAAATAAGAGGAAAGAATGAAGATACTGAGTACGATTTGAATAATGTTAGAACTATCCATAATTTATCTCTTCCTGTACATTCATTAAACTCTAAAAGTCTATCTAAGAAATGGAATCATCTTCAACAAGTGAATATTGAATCTATGCATTGTGTGAAACCACAAAGTCTTATCGGACAGGACAACATTGATCTCATCATTGCTAGAGAAGTCCACGAAGGAGGAAAAAACCAATCTATTTTATCTAAATCGAAGTTGGGATGGGTTGAGCATGGAAACAACACAAAACAGTATTTTCGACGAATGAATCAAGAATTTTCCTTTTTTTATAAACCATCAATACGACGATTTGGACCAACTAGTTGAAAATTCTTTCAAAATTGAGAATTTGGGTGTAAAATATTATAAAACATTACAACATCCAGATGAAATCAGAGCCTTTAAAATTTTGGAAGAGACGACTAAAAGGATAGCTGCAAACAGATGGGAAACTGGACTTTTATGGAAAAACGACAATGTAACTTTACCAAATAATAAACCTACTGCCCTGTGCTGACTTAAATCCATAGAGAAAAAGATAAATACCGCAGAAACAATTTGGCTGAAATGTGTTCAAATCGAAGATTTTTCAGAAGATGCTGAAGGAGTTTTGAGGTTGAAAAGCAGAGTAGTATACTCTAACGATTTAGGTACAGACACCAAATTTCCAATTATTAAACCCTGTATAAAAGACAATTGAGAGGTAGATTTCTAAATAAAAAGTTGTTGTTGACGGTACGAAAAAGTTATCTTCTCATTTCTTCATATTAAACAAAAGCAAAGTCTTTCCCAAGTCGAAAAGTAAAACCAAGTCAGATACAGGTATATTCCATCAAAACGTATAGTATCATAATTACAACTTCATGCAAGCAAGGATCAGGAAGTGATTATACTGTTTAAAAAAATGCAATCATTGTATCAGAAAATTAAACTAACAAAATATTAAATGATATATAGATATGCAGCAACGGAAAGGCCAAGTTTAGAAACGTCACATGAAATATATCGAAACGCCAATGACTTTGTCAGTATAAAAATGCATACATAACAGAAATGTCCATTTATCAGATCGCGACGTCATCGAACTCAATCTACATGTGCCTGATTTACGTTTAACATGAGTTTTTCTTTAGGTCTTTATGTTCCTGAGCGTCGATATAATAGAATGGGATTATAATATTTTACGCATTTCTTCCGTTAACATTGCGATCAGTAACTTTCGCGTTGTACTGGTCAAAAATTTGCCTAAAATCTGTACAGAAAATGCCACTTTTTGTAGAGGTAGTATTCAGATTACCAATAAATGAACTGATGAAAGATAAATGAGTAACCCCTGACGAAGTAACCGAAGGCCACGGGATTATTTAGTTTGGCCTAGGCCTAGGCGGTCGGTTAGTGAACACGATAGTTTCATTTGTGTATTGAAAAATACAGTCTGTCCGCAAAGTATGGAGTAAATTAGATATTTCCAAAACCAAAGGTCGTTTTACAAAAACCTGAAACTCGTCGATTTTTAATGTTAATATTCTAAATTTTACAACAAAATTTTATTATACAGGGTGAACTAGATTAATGTGATGACGTCATTGGTAATTTTTTTAAATGTAACACCCTGTATTTGGTGTCAGTTTTAGATAACCGTAACGAGTTGATTCCGAAAAGGTATAATTCTTGGGGTCTAACGGACAGAATTTGAAAGATGTGCGCTTAGAAAATGAATTTTATTGNAATCTATTTTCTGAGCGCACATCTTTCAAATTATGTTCGTTAGACCCCAATTATTATACCTTTTCAGAATCAGCTCGTTACGGATTATCTAACACTGACACCAAATATAGGGTGTTGAATTTAAAAAAATTACCGATGACGTCATCACATTAATATGGATCACCCTGTATAATGAAATTTTGTTGTAAAATGTAGAATATTAAAATTAAAAATCGACGTGTTTCAGGTTTTTGTAAAACGACTTTTGGTTTTGGAAATATCGAATTTATTCCATATACTTTGCGGACACACTGAATATTATATTACAGTGGTGACGAGTGAAAACAATTAGGATCATAAAAAACAGTAAGGAATGGTTTAGTGAATTATATAAGTATAAATATACAGAAAAAAATTTCCCGAGCTGGGAATGTGGTGTAAATAACAAAAAATATATACCTACATATAAACCAAATCTAAATTACACTGATCACTGAAAAGCATAATAGTAATAAATAAAATACTTTGAACACCGACTGAATGGGTAAATTTCTACATGACTAAAGCCTTGTTTTCTTAGCGACGCATTTTTCGCGTTGCACGTGCTTAGCTTGATACGTTGCCTACTTCTACATAGAGATTCAATAGGACTGTTTTTCTAGAGAGATCAACATGTTCCACGACGACTTGATGCGTCCACAATAGAGAAACCCCAACAGTTTCAAAACTACTTGGCTTTTTGTTCCCAGTCTATCTGGTTGGGAGGTGACCAACAATAGGCACAAGCTGATTTTGAAGCACAGCCAACGCCTTAGGTATAGTAGAAGCAACCGATATACTAATTCTTAAAGCTATCGGCGAAGTCAAAAGCCAAAAAAACCAATACAAAGAAATAATGCCGCTACGAATTAGTCCACGTGGACTGAAGAATTGGCGGTTCGTATTGGATAATTTTTATTAACCGAGTTTTATGATGGCTGAAGAGCCATAAAATTAAATTTGAAGTCATGTTACGGTGACCAATGGAATGTCAGGATGGTTAGAAGAGTCGTGTTGCCAATGTTCAGTTCAGGAACTGATCGCGATTTGAGTGTTGAAATTCGATATTAGTGAAGTTATAATTACTTAAAATTTTTGTTATTTTTTCAAAATGTGGCGTCCTTGGACAAGTGCTAATAGTAATAATGAGTGTAATAACAACGCAAACTTTTTCCTGTGTAGTGATATGCTTGAAAACAAAAGATCGCGACTAATCATCGTGCATTGCGGAGGAAGTACAGGATGTGTTCCGAATTCTTT